ATGGCCACATCACGTTGAAATACCTTTTCCCATGCGATCACCGAAGTTAAGCAACGTCGATCCTGGTCAGTACTTAGATGATGACCGCTTGAGAATACCAGGTGCTGTAAGCTTGGATTTGCTGGTGGTGTAATGAATAATGGCTAGTAATTTTTAGTTCCAATTCTTTAGGGTTCGTTATATTCACTTAGGCGTAAATACTTTTGGGAAAGATATGAAACTACCTCTTCACTGCCACCTGTGTGTTAATTAGTAGAGCTCGTATCAGTAGAGAATTATTATACCCCCAAAAATGTTCGTACAGTCTAAAATATTTTCTGGCTTTAAGTAACCTTTATGGGGTTGTTAAGCTGTAGAAAACGAATAAATCACTCAATTTCCGATTTCCAATTGCGAGCCGTTATCAATTAAACTTTCTGCAAATCCAAGCTTACAGCACCTGATAGTTCCATCTAGATTTTGACCAGCCTCGACGTTGCTTAACTTCGTACGAGAACCGGTGTTTCAACAGGACACTGCCTGAAATCCATACTCTTAAGAGAATTCGATGGGTTTCCGGATATAATCTTCCATAACTGTGTATGGATTTGCTTGCCATTAATATTATTTTCTGTAATCAAAACACTGATTGTAAATTTTAAAAAGAAATATCAATCTAAAGCAATTACCTGTAAACGTAAAGAAAGAGAAAGAGGGGAGAGACACAAAGATGTAAAAATATTTAAATTGCAATCGTAAAACTGTTGCCTTCTACTTTATCTTTTTGTTTCTTTTTTCGACAAATTTTGTTTTGTTGACCGTTAAAATACATATTTATGAAACATATGGCCGCTGGAAATGTCTTGCATATCATTAAAGTGGAGTAAAATTAACATCTGCTTGCAACCTGCATTCAGAAAATAAGAAATAAAAACTGATCAGACAAGCAGTAAAAATATTAACTGATCTAATGTAACTGAATCTGTTGATATAAACTATGATAAAAAGCATGACTTTGATGTCTGTTCGTGCAGACATCAAAGAAAAAAAAACTCCAAAGATTTAAAAGATATTTTAAAGGTGTTTATTTGGTGATTATCAATATTTATGAAAATAAATGTCAGTTCAAACTATATACGCAAAAATGAGTTGGATAATAAATTGCGTTGAGTATAAAGAAAAAATAGTTAAACTTTATTATAAGGATTTCGTATTCCCTTCTACTTTATTGATACAAGTATAATCGCTGTTATAAAAGAATTAATTCTCTGCAAAGATTAGTGGGTTACTTGTGATTGTACACACCAGCATTCGCATACCAATTTGACTGATTTTGAAATAAGACATTGGAATAACGTATTCTTTTCCACTCAGTCTGGACAAGCCCTACCATTAGCTGACGACAAAATTCAAATATGGCGACAAAAAATTAAACTCTACAAATATCAGATTTTGTTTTTGTGTGTGTGTGTGTGTGTGTGCGAGAGAGAGAGCGGGCGGTGGGAATTATTCGGTAGCAAATATAAAGATTTTCTTTAAAGTTTTCTTAAATTTAGTAAAATATATTTTTAGGTTTGTCATTGAATTAAAATATACATGCGCACACGGAAACCTAGATACAATTTAAAATAAATCGAAATTTGTGTTGCGTGGTTTAATTTGATTTCCTTCTGAAAACCCCAATCTAGGTAGTGTAAAAAGTGTTTACCTAAATGTGCAGCTCTTTGAAGCTTATTTTGACTCTTCTTGTATTCAAACTGAATATATTTTCTAGTAAATATAGTACGTACTATGGACAAAATGTTCGAATTGAAATTTAATCATCTCCCTGTCAGCTAAAACGGCAGGTAACGAACTAGTATTATGATAGTCAGTATGTTAACGATGTAGATATCTTTGTGGGTCATAGGGTCACAATCTCACCACGCTGTCGTGGTTGTTTTTTTTTTATTTCATTTTTGTTTTTAATCACTTCAACTCAAACAAGGTGATATTGCAACTACGACACAAGTGGTTACTGTGAGTGAAAGAGAATGAGAAGACTTTAGAAGGAGCTGGAAATGTAATACTAAACAGGAATCAAACCTCAATTCCTGTTCAAAAGACTGAGAAGGTGTGTGTCGTAAGAAGTAAGTTTTTACGAGGTGGATTTGGTAGTGCGATACCTGACCTGTTTGGAATTTAGAATTATCCTTCTGGGCTCTTTGCCAAAAATGCTTGTGCCTCTAACTAAACCAACCTGTCCATTATTCTCTGGGTTATACGGATTGGTATCCTTATCTTTAGGTTTTGTCATTAATGTTCTACTGATACGCTAATCTGGCTTAATGGCAAACATCTTTGATATCTTTTCCCGCCCCGGTAAATATAAAATGCTTTTACCTAGAAGAGAGAGATTTTCAGAATGGATCAGCAACTGAGTATATCCTAAATATAGATTGTAAAGTGAACAGTTATGGATAGGTTCTCTTACAAATTCATGTAATAATGAAATAATTTATAAGAACATAATAGGCAAGAAGAAGCTAAGTTCGTGATTAACAGCTTGAGTAAAATTGAATTCACTTTTCAGAGAACGAGACAAGAATAGAAACTAAAATGAGAGGAAAGCAAATTTATTTGAAAAAGAAAAACTCACAGACGAAGAATATTTAATTTAATCAAGTGATTAAATTAATTAAGTAATTAGGTGTAATTTACATATTTTCAAAATGCGAATAATTACATGATTTTCAATCATACACTGAATTGAATAAGATTTTCGAATTAATATTCACCCTTAAAACATTAGAAGAATTAAGTGAAAAAACTTTTATAATATTTATTTATATAAGGTATGTTTCAAGCTGTCAGATATTTTATTCCAGGTTTTACTTAATATTCTATTTTTATAATCGATTTTATAATACTATTCTGTTACTTCCTTGTTCTCCGGAAGATGAACGAATAAATGGTTGCAAGGTTTAGTTATAGAGGATTCAAAATAAAACTATAATTCTTTTCCTTTTGATAAAATTTCGTCGCTAGTTTTGTTTATTAGAAATCTTTACAAAATGATAGGAGTTTTTGCATTATCAGAAAACGTTCTTATAATGATACGCCAAAATGCCTACATTCACTGAATAATGTCAAAACAAATTTCAGGCAAGATTACGCTTAATGTCGATTATAAACTTCATCAATTTAAATAAGAGGAAATCGTTAAGTTGATGCAAAATTTTTCCATATGTTCTGCTAAAAACTTTTCTCAGTATGAATTCAAAATATTATTCTTCTGTCAAAATATTTTCTCTGGATTTTGATAACCTTACACTACTAAACTGTATATTTCATTATAAAACATCGCAAAACAAACAACAATGCATGTATTTACAAAAGGAATTACGTGTGACGAAAGGAAAAAAAATAAACTAGCTATAATAAGAATGTGTGTGTGTGTTTGTAGCAAGCATGTGTGACTGTACAAAAAGTCAAAACAAAAAGCCATGATAATGAGCGTGCCACGGGGAGCGTGGGAAATCTTATGGCTGTGTTGAAAATCTGTAAATGAACGCCATTTTATGTGCTTAAGGAACGCCGCGTACAAACGTTTTCTTTTAGCAAAGTCAAGGGGGATTATCCACATTTTCATCAAATGGAAACAAAATCGTCGATCCGAGTTCTAATTCCGGCCAATTTCCGCTTTTAATCAATATGGACCAATAAGACATCCACACACAATGACACATTAAACTTTCACTTTAAAGAAACGTGACCCTCTCCGACGCACTATCTTGGATATCTATGCCCCCACCCAACTTTCAGCTTTGCTTATTGAATTTAAAGTGTATCTCATTTGTCATGATCACCATGTTTATAAAGTTGGCATCGTAATTGTATTTTTCAATAGACCACTGACAGAAATCACGTCTGAACCTTGTTGGAATGTTCACGGTACACTCCTTGAAAAAAAAAATGACCGACTTGTTTAGACCTTTCTAAATTATAATATCAAAATGTGCAATTATCACTGTAGTTCACACTGTATGCAGCCGCATCTGCTGTGTTGCTTGAACCCTTCCAGTTTCTTCAAATTTGCGAAAAGACAGAGGGCAACCAGTGTTCTGATGTTGGGGGTCTAGTGTCTGTCAGTAAAATGTCTTCGGAAACACTGTTGTGATTCTTCTTTATTAGAAAATTTCCAACATTATCTGTAATAAAATTACTTTAAATGAACCAAAAGTACATCCGGTTAGAATGCTTTCAACTATGTCCGATATAAATACACGCCCATAGATAAATTCAAGCAACAGAGGTGTACCAAAAAAGTGCGGGACTGATTTCAAAAAGAAATATTATCTTTTCTTATATAGCTGTTATATAGCTGTGAAAGTAGCGTAACTGTTAGCGATACCGAAAATAGTACTGAAGTGCCATGTTGAAATGATAGCAGCGCCCTCTAGGGCTTAATATTACGGCAGAGCGGGATTTCTAGTTTTGGTCGACAACTAATTTAAGAGATGTGATGTGAGACTCGCAACTTCAATTCATAAAACCCTATTTGCTACAGAAACCATTGTGGTGTGGTTGTGGCGCTAAACCACACAGGGACGGGAGTCTACAAGATTAACAGTATCATCATTTTTTATTAGCGACATTATAGATTCGCAAGTTAAATAATGGTTCTCTTCAGGAACATAAAATCATTTCTGCCTCGTTCTAAACGCTCTTCATTTAATTTCTTTATAGTTTGATGAACGTTTGAAGATACTTCTTGGCTATATTGGGGTAACAACATCCGCTTAGTTTTGTCACTCGATACTAGGCTGCACTTCCTAGCATTCTATTCTGGCATTCGTTTGATCGGACTAGACATTTTATATTTCCTTTAAGCTCTTGTGAAAATTTTGTTGAAAGCCTTGGACAAGGAGATACCGCAAAAGATACCCGCTAGTCGTCGCAGGTGTACGCTGGGATCAAACACTGACCGTGTCATGCGACTGACCATTGCAGTCTAAGCTGTAGCCGCCTGACCTTCAGGCGAAGCGTAAATGTATTAACACCTCCAAAGCAGCTGGTCATTAAATTGATTTCTCAGTTATATTTCTCGAAATATGATTATAAACATTATATGTAATTGGTAACATTTCGTC